GAAAACAATGTCTGGTGCAAGAATTTTTAACAGTTTATCGAACTATTTATTCTCGAGAGTGGAATAGCTAGTATGTTCCGATTTAACAGTTGGATATACTAGTCGTGTGTGCTTCGAGAGTTCCCTCTACAATTCCGACTTCACAGAGAGTGACCACCTTCTTTATCCTGGCCTAACAAAGAGTTCTCCGTTTAAATGTTATACAGAAGCTCTAGACCACATGAGATTTTCTTCATAGTATTTTAAACTTTTGTTCTCTAAATTCTGGTTGCGCTACTGAATTATATCTACATGTTTCTACGCTGTATTTTATTTGCATCTTATAACTTAAGAACACAAGTTTTCAAACGATTTTTGTACATGCGAAATAACACTCATAAGCAGAAGACCTCAACAAATAAGTTATAAATTTATATAAAAATATGCATTTCTTTGATTTTTTTAAAAGTATTTTTTATTTATTTAATTGGCGCATTTTATGTAAGAAATGAAATGCTTATTTTTGTGCGGTCGACTTTGCTGCCAGGCAACATTTTTGTTGTGTTTGTAAATGCTTATTTTCTGTACTCTGGGGCAGATCTTGTGGTTTGCAGTAGATCGGCATTTGTGTTGTGACGATAGCTTTATGAGAACTTGAGATATAGGCAAAAACTCTCCTGAGGATTCTGGCAACAATTTTTGACACCAAATTAGCGACGTCTCGTGATTTTACTCCAGCATGGCGACATTTTGAAAGTTTTCCAAAAACAAATTTATTAAGGCTTCAGAGAGATTTTTCTCGAAGCTTCCACAAATGCTGGGGAACCCTATACACAAAGCTGCGTTGGAGCCAATGGTCGTTAGTCAATAAACTGAACATTTTAGTTACAGTCATATGACCGTATTGAGCTTTTACTCAGTTGATAACTGCTTTAGACTTTGCTTTATGAGTTATTATAATGATCTGCAATATTCTTCGAGTATTAAGCAGAATTTCCCGTATCTCTCTTTTTATCTTTGAGCTATTTTACCTTAACTGTTGTAGAACTGTTATTTATTTCAATAATGCGTTAACTTCTTCGTGCTTATCTGACATAATTATTAAAAAAATCTCGATGAAATAAAGCACGCAGCAATTTATAGTTTTCAAGAATTTATTCAACAGTAATCTTTAAGAATTTGCTAACTTGAAAAAGTTTTAATCATAGGGTTGAATTCATATCATTTACCAAATAAGTAGGCTCCGTGGTTTATCTGCGAGATATTTTTCTGTACTTAAGGAAAGGGAAAAAAGAGAGTGAAAATTCACAAAGAAATGTGACATTTCTTTCTGAGTGGAATGCTTATTTATTTGTCTGACACGAGAAACTTCTGAACAAACCTGTTGTATATTTTCTACGTAACACCCCATCTGCATGCCAGCCTTGAAATCAAGGCAAAAAATTTCAGACTTAATTACAGAAAATATTTCTTATATCATATTTTATCGAAAGCAATCTTAATTCAGATGATTTGGTTAAAAGTGTAAACGCTTTAATTACTTCAGCGACTGATCAAGTGAAAAGAAGCAAGCGTCTGAAAGGACTTTAGAAATGCTGTTTTTTTTAACACCCTTCACCTTCGTGTGAAACATAAATACTAACCAGTTCCTTTTAAAACATTTTCCATGAAGATATCCTTCACTATAAGCAGATAGCCCCCTCCCCTCCCTTTTTTCAGCATTCAAATAAATAAACATTCGTAAAGAATTATGCACAGTAGAAATTAATGAAGGTAATAGAATTTCTATCTTACAAAATAGCAATATTAAGGTTTCGAAGAAAAGTTATCCGAGGTTTCTCAAAATGAAGAAAAGGATAATTAAAAACTTATCGTTAAAAAGTATTCATTGAAGATCTTGACACACACATATATAAGTTAAAAATATGCGAATAAAAATTTTAACTTTAATCTGCGATAATGCCTTAGCTCTCTATTTTAATTTGGAAAACCCAAATTTTATCTTGGACATGTTGCATTCGCTCTCTGCTTCTCTGGTAGAGAGCTGTCGTTATTTTATTCTTAATAGCTGCGTATTAAAAATATAAAAATTCTTCAGGAACAGACACGCTTTTTGCGTAACATTTATGCATGGTTGCATAAATGCATAAACAATAAAATAAATGTTAAATCGGCATGACTGCCAATATTTTCAACGTAACTGCTACTTTATGTAGCTTCATGTCTACAACTTCTATAAATCATTAAAAAATATTAACGTTTTAAAATCAACATTTTTGATTTAAGAGATAGTAAAGGATTAACTACCCTTTAAATTAAAAATTCAAGGAGGACGACGCATTTGTGTTAGCAGTTAAAAAAAAGCAAATGCGTTTACTTGATGAAGCTGATTTGAAAGAGATTTAAATCTAATTTGCCTTTTGGTCCCTTAAAATCAGATTTTGATTTAATTTACTGTTATTTCTTTATTGATTATGATTACACACAACGCGATTTACATAATGGATTTAACCAATGCAAGGCGTTTGGAATCTATTACAGAAAAATATTGAAGTGAAAATGAGAATTACACTTAATAAAATTGCGAATATATATAGCAAATAATGTAAGTGGGGGACTTAGAATAAAAATTCATTTTATGTCTAATTTTCTAAAATATTGCAAGTGATTAATTACTGCTTTAAAATATGGGAAGCAGAACTTAGTGCAAAGCAAAGAAATATTATGAAAACTAAAATTTATTTAACAATCTCAAAAATACTTCACATTGCTTATTAAAATATTCAACCGATGAAGACTGATTTTATTTTTTGATTGATCAATTTTTCTTCTAAAAAAAGTAACGAATTTCATAAAGTCAATCAACCATGTTAATAGCCCATCTATTATACAATACTACATCGTACTGTACTTTTCAACGAACGCTCTTCGCGAATGATCATTCACAATATTTCTAAATATAACACTTTAATTTCCAGGTATAAAACTCGTAGTAACCTCAAAATAAACGCAACTGTTCCACAAATCTATAATAGAAATGAAGCTGTTTCAGTGCCACTTGAATGTTTGATTTACTGCATACATTACACATTGCGCAGGAAGGAAAAGAAATAATTAGCACTTTAGGAATATGATGATTCATTATGCTTCAAAAACATCTTCGATTCCTTTAACGTTTCTACGTAATTCAATAGCTTTATTTTCTGTTCCGCAAATATAGTAAATTTTTGGTTATTGAAGAATATATGGCTAATAAATTAATACTTACGAAATTTTTACTAAAAATATCACACATATAGGCACTGAACTGCCAATTTCGAAATTAATGCGACTGGTAACTTTAAAAAATAAAAATGAACTGCTTGCGTCATTTGAATCGTGATGTGTTACTATAAGGGAGAAGGTGGCTAGTTTTGGAATGTAATTAATCAGTTCAAAATATTTTATTATAATATTCACGAATCAAGACTTTATGATAAATTATACTACGTTGTGAAAGGATTAAAAAATTATCCTTTTTGAATCCTTTTATAGAACTTACTTTGCTTTATTTAATTACGGCAAAGTATTCCACAGCCATCTCTCTAAGAGGACGGATGCCTTCGTGGAAAACTCTCAAAGGGAAACTGGCCCACATATACGTTACACATGGGGAAACCCACGTAAACGAACATGCAGCCAGCCCGTTTGCCAGGATTAGAACCCCGGACCGAACTAGCAGCGTTCAGTGACTTTACCGTTCGGCCGCTGGTGGGCTAGAGTTAAGTAATTCCTAGGTTTAATTAACACATAAAACAGTTTGACACTGAAATTAGGTATTTTGGAGATCATCGTAATAAGCACCGATGATCTTGGTCGGGTAAGGCAGTGGTCATGTTTGAGAATAACAATATAACTCTCGATACCGATGTTTATATGAATTCTCAAAAGCATCAGCCACTTTTAGAGGTGGTTAACAGAAAAGATTTTATTTTCACTTTCCATGTAATTACGAATAGCGAAGTAAATCACAACTAAAATTGCTATTCCCCCAGGTTCAAGCTAGAATGATCACATTAGACAATATTTTGGAAAACTTGAGTGCTCTATGGAAAGCTAGAGGAATATCAAAATGATATTATTAACACAAATTTTGAGATATACACCAAAAAAATTAATTGAAATCATGATTATTATTAATTAAATGACCCTCAATAAAAAATTCAAATCTCTTTATTCACTAGTATGTGCGCTAAAGTTTATTTCTTGCTATGAGTACAAACATGCACATACGCAAATTAACAAGACTAATGCATACTGAAAGTATGCAAATCTGCAATATGTACGTGAATATGTAAATACGAAAATTAACCTTCTAAGATTTTCCTTTTCTTTTTTACATTGGGAAAGGCCATCATTTTATCAAATAACTCTTAAAAAAAAAAAAAAAAAAAAAAGAGAGAGAGAGAGAGAGAGAGAGAGAGAAGCTGCCTAAATTTAACTCCTCTGACATAATGAGCACATAATGGTAATGGTGAAAAAAATTCCGTCGGTCACTTAATTCCGTTGTAACCATTTCGATAGCATTTGCTCCTTACATCAGCAATATACTCCCTTTTGTTCTCCCTATTTCTGCCTGAATATTTTCCTCACAGATACTTGAAGATGCAATAGTTGGTATAGAGTGCCAGATAACATCAATAATAATAATTATTACCACGCGGAATTCCTGGGTATAAGTATGTTTTTAACAAGTTCTCCTCCTCCTCACCTCTAGGCTTCGCGGTCCATAAATTATACTTGGAAAAAAGAAAGACCGTACTATTCCGAATTCCGATTGTAACAAACTTAAGAGAAAGAAAGAGGAGGCAGCGTTGCTTCCAGCTATCGGTCGGTGGAGCTGCAGCTCTTGATGGATTCAAGGTAGATCTGCTTGGATGGGTTAGTAGCACACTTCAGAAAAGTATAATCACACCTGACCAGGACAGCACAAGCGAGGATGCGCCTCGTTGGTTAGATTCTCCAAACGTCTCGATGATTGGACGAGCGCCCTCGAGTCTTCGAAAGACATCACCTCGCGCTATCTGTGAGATCGTTTCAAAATTCGAGAGAGTCGAGACACGTTCGGTGCAGGAGAATGAGAAGTAGCAATATACTCATGATTCATAACAATATGCTGTTGTAGGCATATTTAGGAAAACTCTGGCAGTGATAGAAGCGACGTAACACTCCATATTATGGTGTTATCGTCGCTTATTTAATTTTCATTTTCCAGCAAGTGTTTTCGGAAGAATAATGTGCGTGTGCATCTAAGATATATTTGAAAGTGGTTTTGAACACACACTGAAAACTTAAAATTTTCGAGCCTTATAACCAAAGGAAATTTAAAACAAACATGTGGATTTCTTTTTTGGTGTGCGGATTTTTGTGGTCAGCATGTACTGTGAAAGCAGGGCTAGTGAATACTACCACCGAATATTTAACGGACTATAAAATTAATTCTGTCAGTGAAGAAGATACAGTGTCGTCACATACGGTAAGATCTTTTAGATTATTAAATTTCCGGTAATGCTCTTAACAATAAATAATTTATATCAGAATAACTTTCTACAATGTTACCAACTCTGGTCACTCGTAAAAGAAAAATTACATGCAGGCAAGCTTATTCTTTACTTGAATTCCTACCTTCCTTTCGGAGGGGGGGGGGCTTAGAACATTTAAAGAGTTGTTTTACTACACAAAGTTTTATTTTATCCTATTTAATTCTTGGAATATATAACCAAAACGTGAAGCATTTTTATTGAAAAATGTTTTCTGTTCAAGAAACAAAATTAACTTCTGGAAATATATACACATATAAAGAAAAATAAATGTAACAAGAAGGAGGGAAATACAAAGATAACACTAAATAAATGAGCAAAAATAAAAACGAAGTTTAATCAGAAGACAAATTGTATTTTGCTTCTGATTAGTTACATATTGTTATACAATAATTCGGTTTTATCATAAATATAGTAATAATACATTAATAAATGAAGCAAGCTAATTTCAAGTATTTTTTTGATTGCAAAAACGATTTGTGGCACCAGACATGAGACTATACTTTGACGTATATTTAATTTGTAGTTTTTCTTACATTTAGGAATCATTATTTTGAATTAATGTACATGAATTTGGTTTTATTTTTTAATAGTTTCCTACACGTTGAAGTTTTGAGTCGCTTACAGCTGTACCCAGCCTTTTTAAAAAGAAAACGCAATAACTTTTCTTAAATAATTAACAATAACTTATCGAAGGTTATTGACAATTACTTATGCAACTCATAAGTAATTATCAATAGCTTTCCATAAATTATTATTAGTTAGGGTTCCAGTAGTGATAGTTTGAAATTTTATCATAATTATAAATTTTATGATAATTACACCTTTTCCCCATTCTGAGTAAAATATTAAATATTGTAAATATTATGCTGGATATATTAAATATTGTAAATAGATACGCACATGTAAAATTAGTATACTGAAATAAATAGGTACTTACTGATTATTTGTTCCCCGTTTCAACATTCTATACCATGAAGTTAAGAAGTAGTAGAATTAGTTTTTTTATTACTTCAATCGTATACCTGCAGCAACATCCAACCTCTCATGTGCGCACCATCCATGTGCTTTAGTATACGTATATGGAATGCACATGAGGATTTGCACACTCTATATTTAACTAAACAGTATTTACAGCTGTAAAATATAAATATTGCCCATACAGATTTTTATTTTTTTGCATAAGATTCCTTTTCTCTCACAAAATGCTTCTTTTTTTATTACTTATTGACAGAATAAAATTTATGAGACATAAAATTAGCCAAACAAGACTTTATCGCCAAATCATAAAGTTGCCAATGAGTCCAAAACTTCTTTACAGAGTAGCGAATAACCAGATAGTACCAATAAAGATATCACAATTATCTGAACTCTTCAAAGCTGGAAATTTTGCTCAAAATTATTTTATGTTTTAACATGCTTGTATACTGCATGGAATAAGATGAGCTACATGTTAGGGGTAGTTTAAGGTTTCTTATTCAGAATTTATTAAGCTATTAATATTGAGTGCAGTAGAGACATTAGGTATTTTTGGAAAAGCCGGAGAGATGAAAAATTAACAACACCTTCGGCGGGAATCGAACCACGGACCTCTGGAATACCGGCCCAGCGTGCAGAACCACTACACCACGAAGGCACGCTACACCACGAAGGAGAAATACCTTATAATAACTTTTTCATGTTTCGGCAATTTTGACGATGTAACATGAAAATTGATCTTGAAATAAAAAACGGTTACGGTGTCACTGATGTTCAGATTTGAAACAATAGTGTATATTCTGAATACAAAAATAACAAGTACGATAACTACCATTGTGGTTTTTGCCACTCTCATGGCTGTTGCCAATTTTCTGGCTGGAATTATGTTTTACTGCACATTGCATGATCTATTATTATAACTAAATCCATGGTTTTCGTACGCCTTATTTGTACAATCTTTTCTTATTCCCGTGCTGGTTATGTTACAAATTTGTCTTCAACGGCAGGATAGCAAATGCAGGTAATTTTCTGGGTATCCTGAAAATAGCTCAAGACGTGCAAAATTTAGCAGCGACTGTGAATTTTGCATTTAAGACAAAAGGAGGGGGAGCTGAAGCATATGTTATTTGAAAATAACCATACAATAAGAGTACTGTAATCGTTGTTTCACGATAAAATATTTATAGCATTAGCTTAAAGCAAAATTGAAAAATTTTTATTAAAACTAATTTTTGTTCTTTTTGCACTGTGTATAAAAAAAAAATTGCCTCTATTGTTCTAATTATTTATAAAATATTTTTATGAATATAATTAAAAGTAAATTATTATATTTACTTTTTTATACATTTAAGATTTAAAACTTTTTTCATATTGCATTCAAAATACCTTATACGTTTCAATTTTTTTTCTACACGTACAAAACTGAAATATTGTTTCGAAGAGTACTTTTGCGCATCCGTTTTGGGGTGGATACAGTCATAGTCATTACTTTAAAAAATAAAATAAAATAAAATAAAAGCCAATTAAAACAAAATTAATGTAAAATAACTTTATAAATAACTTATTTCTCAGTAACCATTCAGATAACTTTTAAATCTGTGGACGGTTTTGTTTACCACTTAATTTCATATGAGTTTACCAATCAAATTAAACCACAACGAATGTATAAATGCAAATTTAAAAAAGGAAATACATCAATATTTCTAATTTTGTTGAAAAGGATGGATTACGGTTGGATTATTCAATTATGGCAAAGCACACGAGGGCTATCTGCCTAAGGGGAGGGATGCCTTCGTGGAGGACTTTCTAAGGGAAACTGGCTCGTATACACGTTACACATGGGGAAAAACCACGAAAACGCCCATGCAGCCAGACCGTTCGCGGGATTCTAACCTCGGACCGACCAGTGTTCAGCGTCTTTACCGCTCGGCCGCTGGAGGGCCTTATTGAAAAGGATTAACCTTATGAACTTTTATATTCACTTAGAAACCGCAAAATATGCTTATTTTAAAACATTTGAACCAAACAAGAAATTATCTTAATATCTCGTGTCCTTTAAATGTTTCATTCACGTATTCTGAAAAATAATTTTTAGATCTACATATTTTTAAACAAAATCAAAGTTGGCAGTTTACAGATATACTTACAATGTTTTACATAAAATTTCAAATATTAAGCATTAAATAGATTTGAGTTTTCGACTTTACTTCAAACAACTTCTCTGCTTTCGTGGGATATTTCACACAATTAAAAACACATTTAACCAGAAATATTAGAAGGATAAAAAAGATGAAAATGTTGCTGTCAATACACGTTGAGCTCAGCTTTAGTATTTACCTATAAGATCATTCCTTCCGAAATGGAAGGCATTGCAGCGTCGGTACGAACAGTTTGGGCTGTACAAGAATATTAATATAAACAATGTCTAGAAGGCAAACAAATAATACAAATTTGCTTTATACATATTTTAATTCATTGATTTCATACAAGTGACCCTAACACTATTCCGTACAGCTTATTTATGTAGAAGTAGTTTCTGGATTTTATTCTCTTTTTATTGCCGCCTTATATTAAAAATTTTATATACCTAAAGAGGGAAGAAAAATAAACGTTACGAAGAGGTTCAGTCTTGACTTTTAATTCTAACAAAGTTGCAGTAAAGATGAGAGGAAAAAAAGTCCTCATATTGTCCTCTATTTTACAATATAATTTGAAAATAATTCTGAACAAATAATTTATAAATTTTATTTACAATTAAGTGCCGTTAAAAATTTATTAATACTCTCATTTTACTTCATTAATTGATAATTTTATTTTAATAATAAAAACAATATAATATTTATTTAATATTTAATTTATTATTTGTAATAAATCCTTTGCAGCAAATATGTTAATTATGAATTCATGTAAATTTTCTCTCAAGGATTCTAAAGGAAAAATGACGCTCAAGCGTTTGTATAGGCTTTAGAGATAGATTTACTTGTATTTACTGTTGATATAACACAAGAACGCATGAAAAAGGAAGTAACATGTAGTCAGGTCCAATTACCTTCAGAGCAATCCAAGTCATCCAATCCTTTAGTCATTAGCCTACAGGATATAGCTATTGTTATCATTTCTCATCAGTGGGTGATATACTGCACAAACCGATTTAACGATACCCTAGATTTAATGATTGTTTCTATTGGTCCAAATCGATACGTATAAAACGAATGGGAAATTATTCCATAATAAAAGCCTTTAAAAATATATTGTTTTTCCTGCACATGTAATATAAAAGACAGAAACATTTTTACACAGAAACAAAATTTTCGAATTGGATATTATATATCACACTTGACAAAGGCTCAGAAATAAAACAGCCTGACAGCTCAAATCAGAGTTTGACTGTAATTAATTATCTCATCAGTCTCACAGAATACGGAATCTTTTTCTAATATTACTATAAATAACTCTTGGATACAGTGTAAGGATCCTAAGTTTTACTAACGTTTATTTTATTTCAAATCTTTACTATCACTTCTTATTTTCTACTTCCAGCCAGAATTAAAAGCTTTAACTTATTTATGCAAATTTAAGTTGTGGCTTTTTGCCAAGCAAGAGAGAGGAAGGAGTTATTAGAAGCAGGCCGCTCGCCATAGTAGTTTTACTCGTTTGCTGGTTGCCTTCAAGGCCAGAGGTTTAGTACTCTTGATAAATTCAAACGTATCGTAGTTTTAGCAGCTCTCTGTACTACATACGGATTTTGTTAAATAACGGCCAATCTTAAAGTTAGGCACTTGTATATTAATCCAAATTAGTTTTAGTTAGAGTTTAAGTTAGTAGTTTTATATTCTTACGTTCAGACCACAAGTGGTTGGTCTCTGTATTCCGAAGTTCCGGAAAGCTCTGTAAAGATAGAAAAATAAAGGGTTTCGTATACCCTTCCTGTGTGTATTGTCTACTTCACAATTTATTG